AGAGAGAGAGAGAGAGAGAGAGAGAGAAAGTAGAGAGGAGAATGTGTAGGTATGAGAGAAAGAGAGAAGGTGGATTGTTTTCGGGGTATGAATGGATGGAGAGATAATGCTAAATGTTTGTTGTTTGTTTGTTTTTAAAAAAATGTAAAATAACAGTAACAAATATAGAAGATTCTAAAAGTAACTAGATCTATTCATAATATGCAATGGAAAGAAAAGGATTTCAACTGAGCAGCTACAAATTTTAACGAGGGAAGTTGGAGTCGAGAACAGAATTAGATGGTATTCCAAAATAGGAGTCCTTATAGATAGGATGTAATTTGACTTTAGCGGTAGGCCTGTCAATTAGGAATGAGTAGGATTTGAATCTACATACGCAGGAGTTAGAAGCTAGAAATAATAGGTGCATGGAGGACTTAAATAAAAACACTATCTGCTAGATTTTTGGACACAATTGAATGTAACGTTCACACTAATAAGGAATCAAATTTTACATGAAGATAAGTAATAAGCCGTTGGAAATTTAAATAGCATTTCGACATAAGCAGGTTGTTTTTCTGTTTTGTGGCTTAGCACTAAGAGATGTCGGTTGCCTCGCGCTCAGGCTCTCCCCGAATGGCCATCGTAAGGTTGTGGTTTCGAATTCCGGAAGGGGCACGACGTTGTGTCCTTGGGAAAGGTTGCACTGTATGCTTCCTGGGAAGCCAGAAAATGTTTCTCAGTGTTTTAGGGTATGCTGGGGTAATCATTATCATAAATATTATAATAACTGTAAAGCGGAAAGAGCGTGCTGAAGAGAGTGGAGCTATAAAATTGCAATTATTAAATCATATTTGCCGGTGCCTGTTCACGTAACGATCTACATCGACTTTTAAGGTTCTATTTGACAGTCTAACACCAGACCAGTCTGACTATTGAATTGTTCCACTTGGCAGCCCACTAGTTTACTATCCATCCCTATCCCTAAGCCTAACCCAGATCCTAATCCGTCGTTGCGTTTAGGTTAGGGTTAGGGTTAGATAGTAGATTAATGCTATGCAAAGTAGAACAGAGGTTATATTGGTCCTGTGGTAGACCATCAGGTAGAACAGAAACATGATGGTAGACCATCACGTGGACAGGAACTCATTTACCTGTTTTAGGTATCGACTTCCAAAGTGTTGCGGTAAGGCAATAATAATAA